TAAAAACTCTTAAAATATTCTTTAAAAGTTCAAAAAAAAAGGGTGGGGGGTATTCAAATACAATAATTATGTCCATGAAACTGTATCTATTCTGATATTGTTAAGTCTTAGTTAATTGGAATCTTTGGTATGATAAATTGGCTTCTTAACCCATTCCAAACTGGGCACTCTTTGAACTATTTTCTGTGCATGACACAAAGTGTTACTGAGTTACATTCAAAGTTTAATTAAACCACTTTGTTATAAATGTATTTTAATGAAATTAGCATTAAATATACATTATAATTTAAAGTTTTATCTAAATTTTAATTCCTTTATTTCAACAGAAACCTCTAAAACAATAATTAAAACTTCAGTTTTGTTGGTACGTGACTGGCATGCAGTTAATGACAGGTTGTGTTTCTTTTATTTTAATTCTGTTTAGTCTGAAGTATATATGGAAAGTCTACACATTATTGTATGGGAGTTAGGTATACAAGACTGTTTAAGTTTAATGCGAGTGTTAAATTTAACTATTCTTAGAAGCGATAGTTAATTGCAAGTTTATTTACATAACTGTGTATAAATCATATATTGTGTAGTTCAATAGTTATGAACTTGTATTTGTTATATTATCATATCATGTTACTAGAACCTACTGAGTTTTTCTCATTGTTTTAATTGAGTATTATTGCATCCTAATATCTAGTAGTGTGTAGAACAATCTAAACCTCTGCCGGGGTATAAAATGTATTGAAAATGTAGTTCGATAGTTAGATCTAGACTGCATGATTGTGCGTTTAGCCATATAGTATACAGTAGCAATTTTTAAAGTGAAATGATCACAGAATGTATTGTAATAACAGAGCAGGAAGAATAATTTGTCTTGTCAAATTGTGTTCTAAAGTAACTGAACCAACCTGTGTGGGCTCTGATGAAAAAGAGAATTATTTAAAGTTCTGAATACAACTGTGGTAACCAAGTTAAACCAACAGTGTAACAAACATTTTTATATACATTTGACTTGTTTTAATATATTACTTTAAATCAAGTGGACTATATGCTGTTTGTTTATTGCTGAAATTATCACCAACAAGTTTAAAACACCCACTGTAAAGAATCCAGCCCATATATAAAACCTGACAATGGGTAAAATGCAACTACACAAATAAGTAGTTAAAAATACACCTGAAGAGTTTGAAAGAGCAAGCTGTAAATCTTTCTCTCCCTCTGATAGTAGTCCCTACCTACTTTCTACAGTAAAAAAACATTTATTGGCATGCTTATAACCAATACGAAGAGCTGATTTTAAACTATAATTTCTCAAGGTTATCTTGAAACTGACACAATATACTCATTCACAACAAAATTGAACTGCTACTAAGCCTATTATTGAACATCGTCGTTTCTAGCACTTAGCTATTTTTTCTCACCTTATGTAATAAGCCTTCCTGAAAATATTTTTGCCAGAGGCTAAAGTATCTCTGCTGATGATACCATTACATCACCCACAGGCTCCCAATGACATAGTGACATAGATACTCAACAGTAAAGAACAGGAAAGGAAAAATAAAACATCAAAAATAAACTATAAGTGAAAAGATAAAGACGCGAAATTATGAATATGACCCAAAGAAGATATTTTAAGCTTATTCAACAAAGAGTTACAAAGTATGTACATATTTCCATTTCTCAATTTTAGACATGTCATTGCATTGTATGTTGATAATAATAGCTACAGTTAGTTATATGGTATAAAAAATGAAAAATAAAATATAAACATTTACCTTAAGAAAACTTTTGATATTCATTTAGGAGGTTCTAAAAGTTAGGCAAATTTGAAAACTATAAAATAAAAAAAATCTTTATACTTAACATGAAAAATCACCTTGCGTGTGAACTATTCAGAGTCTGAGTGCAAACAACTACAATAAATAACGAATTTTTGGCAGAAATACCAAAAAATTCAAAATTAAATATTTCACTTTTTCTGAAACACTTTCATCCACTAGTCTTATTTTTGGAAAGAAAGAATTAGATAACCTATTTATTAAGAATACTTTCCTGACTTTTTCTTGCTTTTGAAAAACAGTTCTTTCTATTTCAAATACTACAGAAATAATAATATGAACATAAGACAAAAATCATCTTCCAAAAACAAGAAAAATCAGAAAAGTACTTTTAAGAAGTCAATTTGTTCTACCAAACCCTTAACAGTATCAGAATAGATGCAGTTCATTTAGGGAATGAATTCAGAGAACATTAAAACACACCCTGTAACCAAAGGCTCATGCAATCTTCTGAACTTATAGCCAGCATCTGGTATCTTTCCTGATGGAAGCACTTCAGTGGCTTTTATTGTCAACTGCTGACAGGCACACTCATCACGATTCTGAAATCAAAATTGTAGAAAAAAAAAGATAATTTAAACAGAAACTTACAAATTACAATAATACAACAATGTTAATTTCACTCCCACAAAAATGTAAAATGCCTTATTTAAACTAGTTATAAAAAAAAGAGGAACTGTGACCCTTCCTTCACCTGCAGTATTATAATATTAGTCTATGTGAAGTTCAAATCAATGATTTGTCAAAACACAACAAATTACAACTGACTCATCAGGTGGAAACGTAGTTTTTATTATAAAACTATGAATTACATGTTAAAAAACGATATGTCATACTACTACACATAATATGAAAATATTTCTTCAATAAAAATTAAATACTACTAAATAATAAAGTATTATCAAGAAATATTTAACTTTTGTGAACTTACATTGTTATACATATATAAATTACGTAATATTTAAGATGTAAGAAAAACACTATCATTGTATATAAATTTAGAGGGAGCTAGATATTAACTTTTTACATCCAGAATGACTTTATAGACCTTTATAGATCTCAACACTAACTTTACAATATGTCAGCTCCATTTCCATTTATTTTTACATAAAATCGAAAAATCTCTAAAATTAAAAATTGACTAAACACAACAAGATCTTATTTAAGCCATGCCTACTCAGCATCCAAGCCACCAAATCAGAAATAGTATGATAGGTCCCACATTCAATTACATTACATGTATTAATCTTCTTTTAGCTTCTTCAACTTTCATTCACAGGTTTGTACAATTACTAATCATCTATCATAACTCCCAACCAAAATTTCCTAAATGATTATGCCAATGATCAGAATGTATGAAAGGTTAGCTAACAGACTTTGAAAACAAATAATAGTTTATGCATTTGTAAAAAATTTTTAATTATTTATATATTCAGTATTTTGTAAGCAACACAATGCTTTTTTTTTCATTAGAGCTATTAACTTGGTTGTGACTAGCCATCAATGTTTACAAATAGGATCTGAAAACAAAGGTTGAGAACCTTGAGTAAGATAATAACTGTAGATTTTGACAACTGTTCAAAATCGTACTTTTTAAAAGTACTGTACCATTTCACAGATAGTTTTAACTAGTTAAAGAACAACATAAAAATAAAGAACTTGTGTCTCAAAGGGTATCATATTCAATCACCTATAAATACCATAACAACTAACAAAATTATGCTAAAGAGGGTTCTCACTTGACAGTTATCTTTACAGTCACAACCACAAAGAAATTCAGGATCCAGGTTGAGAGGCACTCCTTCAGCTGTGAATCTCTCAGTTGAATATTCCACAAAAGAAGGAGAAGATGTGTCTAATGTGTTCACACAGCTTACAGGCACATTCTCTTTTCCATACGTTATGTCAGAAATGCATACTAGAACCTTTATAGTTAAAAAATAGGCTTATAAAAACCCAATTAGCATGTAGTGTGTGTGTCTAGATAGAGAAGCCATAAAATAATAAAATTTTTAGTTTTTTTTACAATTTCATTACTCACCTTAGCATTGAAACAAGTTCTAAATCACTGCAGTGATTGCCATTGAGAACAAATATTTTTATTGCATTTCTTTGGTTTTCAAAATGTTTTTATGCTACAGCAGATATAACTTGCTGCAATTAAAAAGCCTTTATGTTGATCCCAACTCAAAATTCGTTAACCTAAAGCTAAGGAAAACATTTTAGACTATCAAGTATCATGGAATGAAAACATTCTATCACACTGGTACATTACAATATACATACATGCAAAAAATGAGTAATACAAAAATGATCTATCATTCTAAAATGGTATCTAATAGTATGATATTTATAGAGCACAGTGAGTTTTTTGTAAAGTTGTTTCATTTAACATATGTCTTACAACAACAATAGTGATCTAGCAAATCTAATCTTTCCATTCAAAATGTAATGAAAAATTCAGTCTTACAAAAGTGAGGCATTTTAAAAAATTATAGCATTGATTGCATATTGTTTGCTTTGTAGTATCTCAAGGTAAATCTCCAGCTAACAGCTAAATAAAGCAAAACAGTAGATTTGGGGATGCACTTCAAAGAATAAAATGAACTCTGAGAACAAAGGAAAGACTCAAAACATTTGTCTACATCAAAAAAAGAATTTTTTTCCATACCCAAAAACTTTCTGGGTTTTTGATTATGTGAACTTAGATAGCTTCAATGCAGCATTAGGGCTGTTTGGTTGTCAAAGACATTAGACTTCTTCATCCCACAAAGACCAAAAACAGACTGAAAGTGTACAACAATTGTAAGAAGTCAGACTAAGAATCCACTTGGGAATGACCTACATTCCATGGGAGTAAAGTATGCCTTCCACCAAATTCTAGGCAAAAACTACAGCTAAATATAGAGGAACCTTTTTTTTTAATACAGAAATAATATAAAACATTTGTTTAAAAAAAAAGACAAAATGATAAAAAGTTACTTATATACAGAAGTTCTGGTAAATTGTTATATTTTACTTGGTAATTTTCAAGTCACAAAATGCATTCAGATCTGGTCTGCATGAATAGTTTATACAATAGTGTGCTACTGTCAGCACTCTGCTAAAATTCTACTATGCTAAGGAAAGTGGTCCTTTAGAACATGTTTATCTCATTTAGTCCAGGATATGAAACACTTATAAAAAAAAAATCCTCAGAGGGATGACTGTTTCTTCCTTACAAAATGCATTATTTTCCTTGATACAACCAAAATGAAAGACAACAAGGTATTTCCTGCTAACCTACTTTTGTGTTTCTGATCAATATTTTACAAGTACTTTCCATTGCTTCACATCTTCATCAATAGTGGTTTCATTATTCAATGATTTATCCTAAACTTCTTTTCTGTAGGTAATCTATCAACTTCTTTAGCAGGTGGGGTCCAAGGCCATTTGAGATTATATACAACACCTTTGTTGACCCCATGCAAAAACTGTTAGTGATAGAGAACTTAACATCCTAGGAAAAAACTAACACAAAAAAATAAATTGACACCATCATAATTTGATGCCAGCAAAAACTTCATGCTTTGAAAATTTATTGTCCACAGTATTTCTGCTTCTCTGGTAGGTTTGCATTGTTTGTTGTTAAGAGCATAGCTAAACAATGGGCTATCTGTACTCTGTCCACTGGCTATATTTAAACCCTATATTCAGAATTATAAGCCCTCAGGCTTACTGCTGAGCCCCCAAGAGGCAGGTGTGCTTGGAAACAAAAATATAGTTAGAGTCATGGTCTGGGATGTACAAGCCAAGAGGGTATCTTGTGATGATGTATTCCAGTTGTGGTATTTCTCTACGTTGTTGTTGTTCTCATTGTTGCCAATGGTTGGTTGAGACTTTTATGGCTGGATCATCTCAAACCAACACCTGATATCTAGAGGATGGTAGGAAGGAGGAATATCTCAGCCAGAGGGGAAAACTGCAATAGCTAGATATATGATGGAGTGCTACAACCAACACTTGGCAGGAACTGGAAATGTACATCAGGACTGCAGTAGGAAGGGTGTCACACCGTCAACACCAGCAGAATGCCACCACCTTACTCTCAACTGAGTGAAATGTTGCTTAACTCAAGAGGATTAGCCCCCAAGACCCACCACCCATACTCCACTAGATGAAAAGGGGGAACAAATGCATTGAAGAGTCCAGGGACCTGCAGCACCAGAGACAATACAATGAGTGACCGCAATACCCTATAGTGAAAAGCAGAGCTACCATGTGGACAGAGCAATCAACCAATGCCTAGTGGCATCTGGGATTGTACATCAGGTCTGTGGTAGGAAGAGACTCAATGCTCATGGTGCATCATAGATGGGCAGTAATCCCCGTTTGCTTTACCCATGAAGTCCATGAGTGTACAGTCCAGGTTGACCATATTTAGGAAGCAAAAGACAAGGAGGTATATATACAATTGGTCCTACAGAACACCCTATCTCAACAGTGTGCATAAAATGAGCCTGTGATATGTTATGTAAGAATTATCAATATCCATGTACAAGAAGACAATAGAATGGAGTCAAATAACCAGCATCTGGAATTGTACATCAGGTCAACAGTTGGAAGCACCTCAACATTATGGTCATACAGCATGTTCATAGGATGTACTGTGCATATTTGATACTAAGTATACCTGGTCAGGCACCACTCACCACAGAGTGGGATCCATAACTTACAAGCAAGAGGTCCCTGTAAAGGAAAAGAAAAATGAGTACTTATGAGTCACGAGGAAACAAAAGTGTGTAACATGGCTACTGAAGGTAGCAAGAAACGGCCAAGTGATGGAGGTAGTGAAACTTAAAGGTGTGCAGGGTAGTTCAAAAACCTGCACTGATGACATCCTCCAAAAGGAAATGGGTAGCCAGGGACATGTTCAGGTGACAAATTGGATGAGCAGCTCATAGGTAATGTAATTCAATAGGTAACGTGAGCTGCACGTTTCGCGAGTGATTTACAACTTATAATGGGGTGGATAGCAGTTAGACACGGTTCAAAGGGCAATAAAGCAATAAAATTTGATTATAAATAGATGTATAATGTTACAATATTAGAGCTACTTAGGATAAACGAATATAGTTTCGTGTTACAATCTGAAGTCATACTAGAAAGAAAAGAAGGTTAATTTAGGTTTATTTCAATTTTTTTTGGTGGTTATGAAGTCGTTTGAATTGACCAATCTCATTTTGAGATAGGGTAGAGAAAATAACATATAAACTATAAGGATTTAGTGGGAAAAAAACGTTTTAAATGCATTTAGTAGGTTTCAGGGATTACACGAAGGAAATTTGATATTTTTGAGATGACGAAAAGTATTTTTAATTTTAACATGAAAATTACTTTGCACATGGACGATTCAAAACAAATATCAATATATTGATGGACAAAACGTTATTAAAAATACTTCATTAAGAAATATGACTTTTTGTATGTGAAAGACTTGTAATATTAACTGAAAGACTGACAAATTTCATGAAGATATACCCAATATACAGAGAGTTATAAGTATTAAATTTATATCAACTTTAAACTAGTACATAAGGTCACATGACTCACTCAAATTAACCGACCCCGTTATGGAAGAGTTAAAGATGTTTGTGGAATTACTAAATACTATGCAACTTTTATGAAGATAACACATGTATACACAGATTTTTGAAAAAAAAGTTCCATAAATGAAGATTCCTTTCAAGTTTACTATTTGTTTTATTCACCACATTATAATAGTTGGACCTGATAAAAAAAGATGTTTCACTGAATGATTAAAATCACTAACCATACTATTTTCATGTGCGTGATGAAACTCACCATACTATTTTCAAATACGAAAGACTGTTACGTTGATAAACTGCCAACAAGGATGGGTAAACAGGATGGGAAATCAAGAAGGCAACACTCCTGGAAAGGCCAGAACTTCTGGCAAGGGACCGAACAAAATCCATGCATGAATATCGAGTGTGGGTAGAGAAGGATGACACACACCGGAGTGGGGCTGATGAAGTAGCATGCGAGACAAAGAGAGAGGGTCTGGTGGTAACACTAACAGCCACCTTAGAAGCGAAAACCAGGTCTGAGTCAGCCAACAGAACCTGACAAGGAGTGGTTGGAACTATATAAAGGACATGAGAGAGAAACCGAATAGGAGGACAGACATATAGGTAAGTGTTCATCCAATTCTGGCTGAGAGTATCCATTGCATTTGCCTGCAGATGAGGGAACAGGTGACCAAAAATAGGAAAGTTTGGTCTTTAGAAGAGATGCAAAGGGATCCAAATCATGGATACCCCAACAAGCACACAACTCCAGATTATAAAATAAAAACTTTACAAGGTAGTTTTAGAAGAATTCAGGAATACATAAAAAAATCATTAAATAGAACCTACACCAAAGATAACCATTTTTAATTATTTCTTTAAAAAAACATCACTATCCATCCAGTTATAACATTTTAAAGCTACATACTCATACAAATATTATATAAAAAAAATATTTCATTTACACGAGCTAGATAATTTGTAAAGCACACAACTCCAGAAAAAGACAGAATCCAAAGACAACTTCATCAGTAGAATCGTGTTGGATCAGAATAACCAATATGCCATCAGATTCTTGTCACATGAAATATGATACACCAGCAAAATAATTTGGTGGCCATGGGCCCAATACATGAAACTCAATGTTCAAAAACAAAGGTCCCCTCAACCAGGTGCTTCCTTAACTGGAGATGTAGGATACCACTGTAAAAATTGTCCAAATCCTACATCACCACTTGTCCCTCAAGAGACAGCATGAAGTGTAGAACAGCATACTGAACTGCAAGAAGCTCAAAGATATTGAAATGGAGAGTGGATTCTAGAAGAGCCCATTTTCCCAACACTTCCATACTGTTGAAATATGCTCTCCAACCAGTAAGGGAAGCATTGGTAAAAAGGTGACAATCCATACAAGGCAAAGGAGCCCCCACAGCAGTGTTGGTCCAATCCAACCACCAGGCAAAGTCTGTAAGTAACGGTAAGGGAAGGGTAAGAGGAGCCTCGAAGGGATCTCATACAAAGCTACATTGGGTGATTAAAGCCCAATGTAGATGGCACATGTGGGCACAACCAAGAGGAATGAGCACCTCAAGAGAGAACCTCATATCCCCAAAAGAGATAAAAGGTGAGGAGGAGAGCTTTTTAAACCAGCCATTCCATATCTCGCAAGCAAAGTGGAGAAGGATGGGCCTGACTGAAATGTGAATTGAAAAACACACCCAGATGAACCTAAAACAGGGTAGTGTGAAGAATGACTTCTTCACCTTGATGAGCCAACATACCCCGGCAGCTTCGTGAAAAATAAACAGATTAAGGAGGACGGAATCAGCCTGCAAGTATGCTAGCAGTAGTCAGTTGTTCATGTAATGGTGAAAACAAAGGCCCTGGGAATGAAGCAGTCAAGCAAATGACCGAACAACTTGGCAAAACATATAGGGGCTAAGGCTAGACCACACAGAAGAGCCCTAAACTGAAAAATATGCCGATGATGAACAAATCAATGGAAATGTCAGGATGCTGGGGAGATGGGAATATGCTGATAAGCATCCAACACAAACTTCATCATCCACAGGCCTGGAGTGAAAACCCAATTGGGAGTTAAATATGAATCCATGGTGAACTTGGGAACTACAAGAAAACACTTCAGAGAAAACCAATTGATCACTCGATGCCAGTTTCCCATCACTTTGGGAACAACAAATAGAGGAGAATAAACCCCAGACGAGAAGGATCTCCTTGTTCAATGTTACTTTATCGAATTAAATCATGAACCACCTTCAACAAATGCTAGCAGGAAACAGGATTCTGTGGAGAGGGAAAAGGAAATAGGATGGGGGAAAATGGTGAGGAGGACAAAAAATTGAGAGCCCGGCCTTAAGAAACCATCTTCAAAATTCATGGATCGACTGTAAAAGTCTTCAATATGTGGGCAAAGTGAAATAGCCTGGCCCCCACCAGCCTTGACCTGAGTACCAAGTCACCAAGACAGCAACAGGCAGCCAAACAATTGCAAAAAGTTGAAGAATGAGCAGCCAAAACTGACAAAAGAGAAAAAGAAGGTGATACAAGAACAGGAGGTTGGAATAAAAAATGAGATGTGAAAGAAGAATTGGAGTGATGTAAACTGGCTGATCGAACCCTGGACTCCAAACTGTCGAAAAGACAAGGAAATTGAGTTTGGGAAAAGGAATAAGAATTTCCAAATGTTGCGAGTCTAAAAAGGGGTAGTTGGCATGATTAAATTCAAAAGCATGATCATCCACTGGGAATGAGGCATACCAACCCCTGATCTCAACTGTTCTCCAAAACATCTAGCATGAACTCCAATTTCCAGTGAAGGTGGAAAAACCAAATATTGACACAAAGCTTCCTCATCAAGGAGGGGAGGGTAGAAACATAGGAAACAGGAGATAAAGACAAAATCTAACATACTTAACTGAGCAACTTAAAGTGTGAATGAGACCTAGTCAGTTCACCCGAAACAACACACAACTAGTTACTACATTAGTAGTGTCACACTCTTATTGGTGGAGAGTTGCTGCATGGCCATTTAGACGTAGACATGCAGAAAGAACCTGGAGTTAAAGGTTAGTGGCAAGCAAAAAATTTGTGCCGATAGAAGGCAGTACTAATTGAGAAAGCTTTTTGTGAGAGGAGATAAAAAATCATATTGGAAACAGCAACATTGAAATAAAAACATTATAGAAACGAAATTAGTAGTTACTCTTCTACACATTAAAAACAAGCAAAAAAAACCTTCAGAATTATTATAATTATTTCATAAAAAGATTTATTTATTTTATCAAATTGAAAATTGTTAATTAGAAGGTTTCATTTAATTCTTCCTTGTCATTTTGGAATAGTTATATGAAACCTTCCAATTAAAAACTGTAAAAACAATTCAGATTACTTGAAGTTTCAGTATTGTAAAAACAAAAGTTATTTTCATTGAAACTGCATGGATTTAGCTTTCATGTTAAATCAAACTTAAAATTTACAGATTATAAAATAAAAACTTTACAAGGTAGTTTTAGAAGAATTCAGGAATACATAAAAAATCATTAACTGGAACCTACACCAAAGATAACATTTCTAATTATTTCTTAAAAAACATCACTATCCAATTATAACATTTTTAAAGCTACATATTCATACAAATATTACATTAATAAAATATTTCATTTACACAAGCTAGATAATTTGTAAAAAATACATCTAGATTTTAAAACAATTTGATATAGTATTATTACTTTTTGTGTGAGGCAATAAAAGAGGCCATACCACAATTGCACTGAATGAATGCACCCGAGTATTTTAATGCAAGAGTATAACTAAAAACATCCTTTCAAGAACAAACTGCAGAACCTATGTACAAAATATTTTTTTTACAAAACTTACCTAAATAAAATATATTCTAAGCTATAAAAGAATAAAACACAGACATCTTTAAACTGCTAGTCTCTCACTTTTAAGTTTCAAATGAAAAATATTACTCAAGTGAAAACTTGTCTCTTCTGAGATTAGAGAAAAACTGTATTAAATTGATTTGATTATAAAAGTGGACCTATCCTATTTACACCATATTTGAACAAAATATATGGAAAGAGCAGGCTCGACATTTCTTTACAGTTAAGAATCAAATCAAAAATGATACTTCATATACCTGTACAGGTCATTATTTACTAAGGCAAAAATTATTAACCAATTAACGTATTTAACACTATCCAAAAACTTGACATTAATGCATTTCAAACCTAGGGGTGTTGATTTAACTCCCAAAGCATTCAAAGTTCACAAACTAAAATTACTAAATTAAATTATATGAAAATTGGTACAGTATAATACAAATTAGTACATGTATTAATTATTGAAACATTTTTTATTATAAAAAAATATATGATTTATTATTTTATTGTTTACATAAAACCTAAAAACTACATCCAATAGTTTTTTCAATAAAACTATAGTTGTTTTGTCTACTTTTGTTCTAATAACTTCATGGATACTTTTATTGTCTGTATATAGGATCACTGACACACAATGAAAATAACTTTCAAAAATAAAAAATTCTTAATTTAACTTTTTGTTTATATTACAGAACAATAAAGTACCATTTTACATATATATAATGTTGCTTTACCATTTTATACTTCAATGGAATTATGGTGTTCAGTATGATAGGGAATGTTTTTTGTGGAACAAAACAGGGAAGGCTTAGTTAGGTCATTTTCATTTGATTGTAGCAAATTTTGTTTCACCAACAAGGCCACTGTTTGTTAAGCTATGTTAAAAGAGACCTTATTGGCCTACGTAACTCTTGAAAGGTCAAAGAAAATAATCGAAAAGAAATATGAAATATCTATCAATTTTATGTTGTTCAATATATTTTTCTTTGTCATTATTCTTTGCTCACTGAAGGAGTAAAATATCAAAACTGCTAAAAAACAAGACAAAAAAAAAAGATTATTAATGATTTGTAATTGTACACCATTTTTCAAAGCCCTTAAACTACAGCTGTCATTAACTGTAGTATCCTTACCTGGTTACTTGTTAGAAAAAAAATTCTAGTACAAGACAAAAGATTAAAACATTAGCAACAAAAGTCACCATAAAATATTAAAAAAATCCTATGTCTCTTACTTATTGGACAATATTTCTAAACACATTGTGTTCAAAGTTCAAGTGTAGCAATATCCAATTTCTTAAACATTTTTAAAAAGAGGTAATGCCATAAAGATTGACAGTAAAGTTTGTCTTGTTCTTAACAAAGTTTTGCTCCCTGGTTCCTCTCCTCTATTTTCAAACCTGAGATACAAACTCATTTGTCAAGAACCCTCTCAGATTTACTACATGTATTTGCTCAACTAATAAATGCATAGCTCAGCTTATGCCATGAAAATGTTCATACTTTCTTTGCATTCTACATGCTTTATTTTATAAAGAATTTAATCTCTATGGCAATCAAAAAAAAAAGTTAATAAATCTACAGTCCTTGTAAAAGCAAAACATTTTTGAATTCTATTAATAAAAATAACTAGTATGTTTAATATCATATTAAAGCAAAAATTATATAATTACAATGCCAGCTTTAACTTTTTGTGTAAAATACTTCAAGATTACTATAATCTGGAGGCAACAGGTAGAAGGTAATGTAACCACAATTACATTATGAATCTACCTTTAAGTGAAAATCTTCAGAGTGAATTTCATACATGAATTATGTCTATTTCTTCTTCTCCTACTAAAAATATTTGGTAACTGGCCTGAATTTATTGGTCCAATTGAGTATTTTTGAACTCAATTATCAAAACTATGCTAACCAAATAAATGAAAAATTATGATGTGATTAAAATGTATTTAGTGATAAAAACAGAATACTACATGCAAAAAAGAAGACTTATGCATAGCTTATATATATGTTTTACAATACACAGCAGTTAAGTTACTATGCAATTCACTTTGCCTATAACAAAAAAAGGCCTAGATGAGGATTCCCAGTCTGACAAATACTTGCACTGTAATTTTTGGTATTTAAACTGAGAAAATATATAAAGCTAAAACATATGTAGTTTCCATCCCTGAAATATAATCTCAATGAACTTACTCTGTGTGGCAGAAAGGTTGTAAAAGTATGAACATAGCTATCAAAACAGAATAAGTCAACAGTTAATTTAGACTTGGTCTCGATAAGGTAGCGATTTACATCTTCAATTGACCTAAGTCGTCTCCCACAAGGTGCACGATAAAAGACTACCCTTTTCCCTGTAGTTCGATGCTTTGCAATTTGTCTGAAAATAGAAAATTAAATTTCATGTAACAAATATTTTCTATCACTGCTCAGTCAAAGCTAAACACTGAAAGTGTTAAGTTTGATGAAAAAATTACCTTTCCCAACCTAATAGCATAGGTATACGAAGAGGACTCTTCCCTTTAACACTTGCAGGGTCATCAGGCTTATTTCGAATGCATCTTTGACAGCAGGTGTGAACCACATACTTAAAACGTGGTCCAATTGTCTTCTTTAAAATCTCTCTCGTTCCTGCGTGTTCCTCACCTGATGGAGTACACTGGTCTAAAAATAGATACCACAAATCACAACTTAACTCTTGCTGCAGGGGTTAACAAAAGTACATGCTCTAACTCACATATACATGTATATTAAAAGAAGCTTACAAAACTTTTCTGCCTGTTTGTATGTTAGTTTATTAAACTGTGAAAAAAGATGATTGCCCTTTATTTTATTGGAAACTATTACTCAGAAAGAAATTCAAGTGTGTAAAATAAAAGGTGTAAGTAGTACATAATACTGTATGTGCAGGGGATCACAAATATGGAATCAGGTCATCTGTATCACTTCAGTATTTTTATCTAGCAACTGAAAATTCCTCCATTAAAATAATAGTTTTCAGTAAAACCTCAGAGGCTGGAAGTAAAATTAGAGATGTAGTAAAGGAATTATAGTTAAACAGTATTGAAAAGTTCCATTCATATTTTTACAAAATGAAATGTAATTGAATAAAATAGTTTACTATTAGTAAGATGTGTACTGAATTACATAATAAACTTATTTGCAATTGTACCAAATGTTGTGATTTATTCCACATAGTGATGCAATGTTGACAAATGCATCATTAAATAGTTCGTGTATAACAATATATTAGGTACATTTGTAATTGACAGCATAGCTTTATACTACAGTATTGCTAATTTAATATCTCCTTGTTGTATTGAAAATCTACACCAAATGATTTCTATATAGATGAAAGCCATTATGTGTTTGTAATGTTCAAATTGGCTCAGTGGTTTGTCTTGAGCAAATGTACCAAGTTCAAATCCCAATCAAGTGGGGATTTTCTATAACCTTTTTTAATTATTAACTCATAATGTTTAGAGCAAGATATTACAATATTAGAAAAACCACAACAATATGATAAGCTTAAACAAAAGATTAGAATTATTTGTTAACATTTAATAACAAAGACTGGGTGTCACAGTGGTTAAAGCATTCGACTATCATATGGAAATCTCGAGTTCAAATCCCAGTACAGTGAAGATTTTCAGTTAATTTCTTTCAATATTAGGGAAAATACAACGAGAATTATAGACTAAACCACAGATAATATCATATTACATAACAAACACCAATGACTGTACGTGTCAAAATAAACTGAAATATCTTTTCAACCCAATAGATGTTGCTAAAACACATTATTATTGATGTTTTTCACCTTTAGTAAGAGATTTTTGAAAACTTAGTCAAAGAAACTTAAGAATTTTTTATGAAAAGGTATATCTTCATGCATGTGCCTTTACCATAACAATTAATAAACTGCAGGATTAGATATTTGACCCTGTAGGAATATTTCTTTGAGAACCACTTTTTTTGCATGGTTAACTTTATAAGGCTTTATCAAGAAAAATATTTGAACATAACATAAAAACATACATAAGTCAAAATTCTAATCAAGGACCAAATATACACACAAAATGTTGTTTTCATAAAATACCAGAAAAAGGATAAAAATTCTTTATACATATATTGTTAGTATAATCAATTTTATAAAACATTTTTATAAAACATTTATTTAGATTTAATTTTCAGAAGAAAAATTAATCATCATTTATTGTCATATAATGGGCATTGAGCTAGTATTCAGATAAAAACTAATTTAGGATTAAAACTACATAAAGTTGACAAGAAAAAAACAACTAAAGATTAATCTTAAATAACAAGTGAATTACCCAGGAACTCCTATATGTTTGATATTAGAATTCATAATGTTGTAAAGTAATTTTTTCATTGGGCAGGTTCTTTTAAATTATTTGGTGAAAATCATGCAAAGACCAGTCTATGTAATGATAATATATTATTTTTATTTCTTCCATAACATTTCTACTAGCTGTCTTCACGTTTTCACTGTTGTAACATATATCCAAGTTTACAAATGACGTCCAAATAGAAATACCTTGCTAACATAAAAAATAAGTGTTAATTAAGACTGATCCAAATGTATCACAAAACTTAAATACTTCACTGAAATAAACTGATAGGTACTCTACATTTCATTGGTAGACTTCTCCTTCTGAGGCCCAAAATTATACAGATGGGATGGACTCTTGTCCCTTGCCATTACTGACTGTCCTGTCCGTGGGGGAGTTATATACACTAGCAGCTCAATCGTTTATGATCCTCTGGATATGATCCTGACAGGAATCCTGGGATCATCAGCAGACTGAGTCTTCACTGACAAATTCTTATCTGGAGTTACTCACTTGGCCAATCACTGATTTACTTCAAACTAAAATCATGGTGGATGACCTTTGGTTTGGATCACCTATCCTTCTAGAAATCTGTAAACCACAACACTGATTCTTTTCAGTACATCATATGGTTCTTTCCAACACAAAACTAACTTTGTACTTCCTTGCAATTAGAACTGTTCAGCCATATTATATTAATCATTTTATCATAGGCTGATAAAATCCTTTCTGGATTTGTCTTGTATGACATTTAATTTTTCACATCCATGAGAGCTCTTTCAACAACCAATCCCTCGGGACACACCACTATGTCTGGCCTCATTAAACTCAGTCAATAGATGTAATATACAATCTCATGTATATTAACTGCCCTGTAGCACATCAAGATTTCCTCTGAAGCTAGCATAACCACATAGCATGAAGTCAGTTCTCAATATACACTCTTCCTCCATGTGAGGTGCAGCAAAGTTTCTTAACATAAGGGTAACTTCAAACTTCCCCTTTACTAGAACTTTATGTCCCACTGTTGATCTTATCAATTCCTCTTCTTTCTCCATTTCTCAAGGCAATTTCCCATCAGGTTGAATAACTGTAGCTGTAGAGCTGGTGTTGATCAACACAATGCAAGGTTTTCCATAAATAAACTCATGGATGGTTTTCCTCAAATAATGATCTTGAAAATTCAATCAAGGCAAGAGGTACAATAATGTTTAAAATGTAAAACAGACCAATGTATAAAATGCACAATAAATATTTTATTTGGTCAACACATAAATTAATGTACATAGTTTAGGTTTAAATTTTGCAATAACTCACTAACTCTACCCATAAAAGTTGTGGTTAGAAGTACTGAATCTAATGTTGATCAAATTAAAGATGGTAAAAATAAAATTATAAGATATGTTTGCCAAGATATAATGTCAAAATGAAATATTAAAATTATTAGTAATTTGATGGAAAAAAAAAAAGTTTTAAATTATTTGAAAATAATAATATTGTCATCACATAAGCTGATTAAGGAGGGTGTGTAGCGATATTGAACAAATGTAATTATATTTCTAGTGTAGATCAGTTATTAAATGATGGTTCATTTGTTTCTCTTATAAGACACTCAACAAATTTTCATCCTTGGTGCAAAAAAACATGTTGATTAAAGTACAACTTTTTCACCTCAACAACAAAAGAAAAGATTATGATTCCTTCAATTTTTGCCCACCCTGCTTTTGTGCTATATCTGAAATTCATAAGTTAAACAAGTTTTTCCACATATTGTATCTAGGATAGACAATTTGTCTTCTTATGTTGCAAAATACATTGCTCGATGGTTTTGATATTTGAGTAGTAAGAATAAACATGGCCCAGCATGGCCAAGTGGTTAGGGTACTCAACTTGCAAACTGAGTACAAATGTTAAATACAGTGACATTTTGGGTTACCGTACATTACATATGCATTCAAAAATAAATTCTTAAATTTTAGCTATTTTTCTTAAAACATAAAATAGTAAATAAAAAATATATAGAAAACAACAATCCCTACTACTTCTAATGTTGCGGGGATTTTTTGTCCTAGTACATGGTACTTGCTTAACCTTGTCAAATTTCTCATGTAAAAATAATAAATTACTATACAGATACCACAAATTCCACCATAATTTAACAGGCTTCCTAACTAAGCTCTATTTGGGTCTAAAAACTCTCATTTCTGATCAGTATATCACTTTGATCACCATTCTTCACACTGTCCAATGGTGATAATGGCTTTACCCTCATAAGTACTTAATGAAAACCAACAAATACGAGCATTTTTGAGTATTTTCAAATGAGGAAGATGTGGGTGAAACCACTATGTTGAAATCTGCTAAATAGAAAAAGATGTAGATTCTTATTTTATATTATAGCTTGACAACATTAGTAATTTGAGATTCTAAAACTGTAAACTTTACATTTTATGACACCCACAACACAATCTGAGCAAAAGCAGAAGATGAACCATACACACACATACAAAAATCGATTTTATCAATATTTTTTTTATATTTACTTTTGAACTAAGAAATGAAATAATGTATAATACTAAAAGTTGATATCAAATTTATGGACATACATTCATAAAATGTTAGTTTAATAAAATTTTGAATGTAGGTCTATGAAATGTGATGACATGCACTCTGGCCCTTACCCATATAGAAAAGGTTAATTCTTTCCAGATGGGTCACATGTCAAAGGCCATGTCATCATGTTTGTTAAATAAAATGGTTACGAGGTCGGGCCCAGGGACCAAGCCCATGCTGAAAGGGTTAAACAGAAAGAATTTCCTTCTCAGTGCAAATCAAATGCTACTTCCTGCCTATCAGGATCCATTTTTAAGTTATCAAAATGTTGGCTTGTGTGTGGATTTTATCTTCACCATATTCTGCCAGGTCATTTGCATCAATAGTAATTAGGTGAATAGGATTTAAAATATAAAGTGCCTTCTAAAATCCTATCATCATTACCAAATTTAGATTCCACATTCTGAATAAAATTTCCCAAAAAGGATATCTTTACCTTCTCAAAGGTGTCTACCTACTGTTTTGCGACTAGTCCATTTGTTACTGCTTTG